GTTGATAAGTTTTGTCTTTTTCACGAGCTTGCTGCGATATATACACATCGGGTTGGTCCGGACCAAGGTCTTTAAGCAACAGTTTATCTCCCAAACTTCTCCTTTCGAAAGGATTGGAGATTAGCTCTTGAACGGAATTGGGCGGGGACCGAGGTCCGGCGACTCCACCTGCACACGAAGCCATTCTCATCCAACTACTACTGCGTCCCCTTGGTCACTCACGAGTCTAAAAAACAACTCACGTCAACGCACGTAAGCAACGTGGGCGCCAACGTGAGCGCCCTCGTGACCAAAATATTTGACGCCGCTGATTGGCTGAAATTATGTTTCGGCGGCACAGTTTACTATTGAGACTTTTGCAATGTGCTGGTTGCTGCTGTTTGGCTCGGGGGCTCCTTGCACGGCGCCCGGTAATGATAAACTAATGCCACGGGCAAGGCCAGGCAGGAAACATGTGACTTATCAGTAACTTTAGACATCGTAACACAATTTTAAACGAGATTTTATTGTAGATTATACATGTTACTGATACCAATTGTATGATATTTACAATTGGTATATATATTTTTTTATATTTTTTTTAGTATGTGGGAAGAGGTGGGGCAGCGCCCCTATGGGCCGGCCGCCACTGATGTCCATAGTAATATTTTGGACAATGTGGATGTATCTGCTCTAATGAGAGTCTTCATTAGTGCCACCCCAGGCTACATTTGGAGTTTTGTGAAGCATTTCCTTTAATGCTGCTGCCGCTGTGCAGTGTTTTGCCTTGTCAATCAGTTAAAATTGAATTCATAGTTTTATTAATATTGTAAATAATATTTTCTGACTATTTGTAATGTTATGTAGGTTTGTAAGACCCATAGTTAGCATGTGGGCATGTGCAGCTGTTGCTAAGTGATGTAGGTCTATAATGGTTTATTAAGCCTAGTTAAGGCGAGACACCCCAGGTGAATAGGGTAATTTCTCCAGTTAATTACCTACAATAAGGCAATTGTTTCTTATATTACAAGTTTTCTGAATATGCAAATGAGCCATTATCTCATTAAATGTGCGCATATTTTAACACATTTCAGGAATCGAAATCTGAACTTTGGATAAAGCCAGGTTCAAAATTCTCGTTTAATTTTGTAGTCATATTAGCATCTAAGGCTTTCACAGAAGGGATATTGGATATCTCTTTGTATCACTCCATAAATCAGTAAATACTGTCAACAGCCCTAAAATATCAATTTTCGCCATGTTTCTAGGTATAAAATGTTATATAATTCAGGCTATGAATGACATATGAACAAACTCTTCTGTAAAAGCCTTCATAATATTGATAGGAATATAACTGGAAGGTTTGGTGTATGTAAGTGCTACTGAAGTGGACATTTCGAACTCAGAGTAGGAGAAAAAACTCATTTTGAGAAAACAACCTTTAAAGATTGCAGTGAGGCGCTAGCTAAACCCTCCTGTTCTTTGGATGACAGCTTGCGCCTCGACGCACTCCGTGAAGGTATTTCATGTTTGGGGTCATTTGTTTTTTGTATAATCTTGTTTCGTGCAAGTGACAATTGTTGTCGTCTTCTCTGTGAAAGTTTTTTTCGCCGTTCTTTTGCCATTTTGAGATTTAAATTTCTAGCGGAAAGCTAACCAGGAAGTGTTTTAGCACATCACGTGACGCATCTGAACGAATCACGTTGTCAGAAGTTGACACCAGCCAATGAGATTTCGTTTCTTGGTTTAAGACCCCTTTGTGCTTTCACGATTGGTTGCTGATACAAAGGAAATGACCATATTTGGATCCGATGAGATTGTGCAGGAGAGACGAAGCTTTTCCAACGATGACATTGTGCAAACAGCGGTCGCGGTACTTTATGTTATGTTAGAATGCTAACTTTTGGTGAATTTAGGAGAAATATACAGACGCAAATAGACAAACTATAGTAAAATCAACACTTAAATGTGTATTTTGTACGTTTTCCTTCCAAAAGCCTGAAAGAAAACAAGTTATGGAATCAAAATAGCACAACATCTCAAAATTGACCAGTGCATGAAAAACGATGTTTTTGCCTGCCGTGTCTCGCCTTTAACAAACAATTTATGCGGCTCGTATCGCTGACAGCCGGGCCCGGCCCGGCACAGCCTTTTTTTTTTTTTTTTTAAGCTGCTCCGTCATTACTTTTGGCAGCACCCCCTGAGAAAAATGACTTCCCGCGGCTATGCACCAGGGAAACTAACGACAGGGAACCACAGACAGATCTAAACCAGACAAAACACAACGCAGGCAGAAAACCAAAGACAGATCTAGACAAGACAAAACACAACACAGACAGATCGTGACACTTTTGGCTGCAAACTGCATTTCGTTGTACTCTATGCAATGACACTAAAGTTGAATCTGAATAAAAGCCTTTATCCCCACAGTCAGCCAGTAGAGAGCATCCTCATGCTGCAGCATTAAGAAGCAAAACATGAGTCATTTCCTGTTTTGGGAATATGCTTATTCACTAATGGGAGAAGGCTTATTCTTTATTCTGTAGCTCTCACCACATTATCAGATAAGAGAATGCTAGAAGGGGATGCATGATGATCTGAATAGCTCCCTGCTAACTCACCCCTCACTCTCTTCTGTGCATGACAACACATTCTCACAGCTGTCAGTAAATACATTTTCTATTGATGATGTTGATGGTCACCCCATGTTCTGCAAGACAAATGCAATGTGGTGCAAAGTAACCTCAGACACATGTGAAACTAGGTCAGGACAAACGGCTGATTACATGACAATCAGTGAAGCTGGATTACATGGCGCTTTGTTTCCTGTCAAAGCTTTGTGTAGGTCATTATATCCCACCAACAATGAAAACTACTACACAGTACAGAAAACTATAGAGGGGCACAGAGGAACTATTCAAACCGTGGTTGGATTTGGTGAGCTTCTTACAGACCCTCTTTTATTAGAAATGGTTTTGCTTTTCTGTTTCTCCAGCTGTCTTTCTTCACAGACAACAGAAGGCTGTTTTAAAGTTCAGCTGCTGAAAGGGAAAGCTTTTTCTGTGCAAAATAGGGCTTTAACTAAATACTACTTTCATTATCAATGAATCTTTTGATTATTTTCTGGATTTATTGACATAAATGTCCGAAGATAGGGTAAAATATCCAGTTTCTCAAAGTCCAAAGTGATGTTTTTAAATGGTTTGTTCTGTCAGTCCAAATGAGGTAGTCAATCTCCATAATTGGAGTCTGAAGACAGATTTTTCTGTCGGTTTTGCAATAACTTTTAACGCTTAATATATTGTGAAAAAAGTTTGTTATTATTTTTATGTTGATAGATTAGTGGAATAATCACCGCAGCTCTATTTCTCACCTGTGAATGTATGTAATGTGGAGCCATTTATTAAGTATAGGAGAGTTTTTTTTATTTTAGCAGTTAAACGTTAGAAATGAAAAGCTGAACTTTGAAGATAACTGGAGAAGGAAGAAGTAAATGTCATTTCAAGTGTAGGCAATATATTCTGAAAGAAACACCACTAATAGATCATTTTCATATCTTATAGCATGTCTAGAGGGCATCTTTAGGTTTTTCAAATGATCTTAACCTTCAGATACGTAAACAGAGGCTGAAGAAGTACTCATTTACAATGTAATTAAGTAATGTGTGTACTCAAAACTTATCAGGATCCATACATTCTTAAGGTACCAAAAATAGAAGTGCCCATTTTGTTGAATGGCATTAACAGGTGAAACATTAATGTTATGAACACATTCATGCCACATACATAATGCAACATATGTAGCTCTGGACAAAATGAAGAGAACACTGCAAACGTATCAATTTATCTGGTTTTACTATATCTTTAGTTATGTGTTTGAGTTAAATGAATGATTTTTTATTGTATTCAATAACCTAATTACATTTCTCTGTGTTGGAATGCACTGGAATGGAATGGCTGCCATACATGTAGATATTGAGATTCAAGAACAATTTGAAATCTCTTAATTTTTTTCAGAGCTGTATATTTATTCATAATAGCTGAACCAAGTAGCCCAATAACTCGTCCACTGCTGGATGTAGACTGTCCCTGTGGACATCATAACACCCAGCAGGTGTATAATCAAGTACAAAGCAACAATAATGTCTTCAAGCTCTATAGTAATACAAAACGATTATAATTGTTTAATTAAATGTAACTTATTTTAGACGCATCAGGCGTCAGAGGGTCGCACTTCGGGAATCCCCCGGAATAACGCAGCGCGTGCTCAGGCCCCTGGGCGCGCGGGGGGGTCCGGGGCCACAGCGGTGGGCATCATCATGTAGCAAACAAAGCATGAAGCTGTGTATGACTGGTAGGAAACCACAACACTGAGCAGGTGTTTCAGGAAGCTGATGCAACACACCCTGCTGCTCAGGACCCAACACACAGTTCAGCTGTCTCCTGATCAGAAATGAAAACACATGGTCACATGATGTCCACATCGGTAGCATGTACCCAGCAGGGCACCTCCCTGAGTGGAGCTGCAGATAGCTGGAGCTACAGTTATCGATTATCGAACAAATCACAGCACATGGCAGGGTCTGGAACACTGTAGGTTTATAATCAATCTGAGGCTCAATAAGGACACGGAGGTTTATATTCTCAATTGCAAAAAATAACACTGAAATGACACAGAAGACATTTAAAACATAATCGTGACACACTGAAACGTATTTTAAGGCTGGGGCGGCTACATGGGTGTCCCTGCTACACAGCAGTATAGCAGAGCATGGATGAGAGGAAGCTCCATGTGAGGATTAATGAACAGATGATAGACAAGCCTTTGTTCATGTGAGCCAGCGAGCAGTCGACAGACTCAGTGGAGGGAAGCTGTGCCCGTTACTCCACGGATGGTAAAGATGTTGCAGATGACACAGTACATGTATGTTTAGTATCAAGTTTGAACATGTGACTAAACCCACATGATGCTGAGCAGCCCCGCACACAGCGCATCCTCCACAGGGAAATAAACATGCTTACCTTCGAACACACGTATATCACTCCTCTCTTCTCACAGAATGCTCTGCCATCTGAGCTGGGGGTCGTGCTGGAAGGCTACAGATGTGTTGGCAATAATTGCAGCCCTGGTTAGCGCCCTTCTTTTATGGAGCGGATGAGTAGTAACCGCGGTCAAAGCCTTCTCTGTATGGAAGGTGATTAGTGCCACCACAGAGGGTAGCAGTAGCTTCAGATCAGGAACAATATATATATATATTAGGGCTGTCAGTTGATTAAAATATTTAATCGCGATTAATCGCATGATTGTCCATAGTTAATCACAATTAATCGCAAATTAATCGCACATTTTTGATCTGTTCTAAATGTACCTTAGAGGAATATTTTTCAAGTTTTTAATACTCTTATCAACATATGAGTGGACAAATATGCTTTATGCTAATGTTTATTATCATTTGAACAATGACAAATATTCTCATGAATATTAAACATAACAACCTCTGAACATTACAAATATTCGCCTCAACTCAACCTGGAACATCTCTCATACATTAATACAATACAAATGGTGTGTGTGTGTGTGTGTGTGTGTGTGTGTGTGTGTGTGTGTGTGTGTGTGTGTGTGTGTGTGTGTGTGTGTGTGTGTGTGTGTGTGTGTGTGTTCGTTGGAGCTATGTGCAACTCAAGGCATATGCTTGAACGGGAGCTGCCTGGATGCTGCAATCATGTTGCGCGCACTATCCGTGCTGAGTGTGCTGACTTTCCGTACAATGTCCCACTGTCTGGCTTCCTGCATAAAGTCAAGTGCTCGGCGCAGTTGTGGCGAAATGTCGCTCCTCTGTTTTCATTTAAACAGCTCCTTATATCCGTTAGCGCAGCTAGCTAGCACCAGATGCTAACAACAACAATACACGTAAGGTCTCTCTCTCGCTCGCTCGGGCCACACATACACACACCCTCCCGGTCCTCCAGATGGCCAGTCGGTGCCTGCCGGTGTGGTCTGCCACAAGCGGACGGCAGGAGCGGGGGCTGTCAGCATCAGCTTGTAGATGGTATTTTAAACTAGATGCACTCTGAAACTACGGGGCGGCCGAGGAAAAAAAAAACACATGCGTTAATCGCGTTAAAATAATTAGTGGCGTTAATTTTTTTTATTAACGCGTTAACTTGACAGCCCTAATATATATATAGAGATATATATCTCTATATATATATATCTCTATATATCTCTCTATATATATATATATCTCTATATATATATATCTCTATATATATCTCTCTATATATATATATATCTCTATATATATATATCTATATATATATCTCTATATATATAGATATATATATATATCTATATATATCTCTATATATATATATTAATGCTGTCAAAATGATCGCGTTAACGGCGGCAATTAATTTTTTGAATTAAATGCGTTAAAATATTTAACGCATTTAACGCATATGCAGAATGGCCCGCCCCATACATCCCACCAGTGGCAGCGCCAGGGTATGGCTGGGGTAGGCTACACCCATACCAAGAAATGGCTTAGCCCCACCATGAAAAATGATGTTAGAGTAAGCAAAATAAAGTCCGCAAAATAAAGTCCGCAAAATAAAGTCCGCCAACTCGCGCCGAGAATTGCACAGACAGCAGTTAGTAAGATTGATTCCAGTAGCCACTTTGTCTGGAAATACCGAAGACCAGAAATGGTTTTGAAAACTTTTGTCACGTAGTGATCGTCTTCTCAATAGAACATCTTTGATAATGTCTTCTGGCCAATCAGAATCAAGATAACGGCGTGGTGTTGTTGCAGGAAGTCCCAACGGAGAATACTTTTGCTGTAGTACAGGCAGTGGCGACTAGTCATTAGGGGCAGGTGCCCCACCTAGTGTCAGCAGAAAGTATTAAAAATAATGATTACAACAAAATGCAAAAAATAAATTAAAAAATATATAAAATATATTTTAAGATCACGTTTAATCATCTGATTCGTCTGTACATTGCTGTTTTAGTCTGTGTTCTTCTAATTAGTGTCTACAGTGTGTGCCTATTGAGCTGTTTAGAGCCATGTGGGACAAAACCCGATCCTGCCCCTCCCTCTCTCTGTCTAAGTGAACGGTGACTGTAAAAACTACACTGCGCATGCTCAGAATATTTTCCTATTTAATGTGTGTGGCAAAAAAATAATGACCATAGGGGCATAGTGCTGCCATCCCCACCATACGTCATCTCACATCATTCCGAGCTGATTGGCTGTAAGTATGTGTGCCGCGAAAAGTGTGGTGTGTGAAGAGGAGACGAGAGAGCTGCAGTGAGGCGTCCTAAAACCCGGAAGTAAGCTGCGCATGGACAAAAAAGCAATGAGATTTCTCCATAGAATTTTAGAAAATAGCTCCAAATAAGGTCTGTGGAAAACGTAGCTGTTAGATAAATGCATGTTTTGTTCAGCTGGATAATATCCACATGTCTACCCTACTTTTATAATTTTCGAATCATAAATCTATTGATTAGATTAGATTTATGATAGAATTTTGAAACTATGGGTTTAACTGTGGGGTAGAGCCGGGAAGCCAATACGGAAGTGCCACACACTGCAGTTCATATATTGGCCGATAGGCGATGGCTGCAGAAAGGAGCAATTTCCATAGACCCCCATGTTAAAATGCCCAACTTTACAGCAGAAAAAAACATGTTTCTACCCCAGGCTCCATACATTTTTATTATCGATATAGTTAGATTCCACCTTCATGATTATGGATCTGTGAGTGAATTGTTTTCTAACGCGACCCTTTTATTTATATTAGGTCTTAAAGTTTGTGCATAAATTAGGGCGTGGTCACATTGAGTGACGGCTCTGTCCGCTGCTAGCTTCTTGTCTCTCTGCTAGCTGCTCCGTGAAGCTAGCTACAGGGACTCTGCCTGCTCAGCTCATCCAGGAAACACAACTTGTAGCCGGCCGTGGTTGTTTGTTCTTCATGCTTATATATCGGACTATTGTGACTCGCTCTGCGGTTAAAACAGACGGTGCATGAATGCGGTTTTGCGGTAAGTGAAATTCTAGTGCTTTATTTATGTGTTAATGATTTTAATCAGCTACGTAATGAATGGTAAGGCTTGGGTTAGCATGTAAACTAGTGGTAGCTACATCGGTGCTAACGATTGTAATCGTAGCCTCCAAGTTAAAATCATAGACTGTATATATAAAGGTTAAAACGAAATAGACAAGTGTTAAGTGGGATAATACTGTTGAACAAACGGCTTCTGTTTGAGGTTGATAAAATAAGGTTACATCCTTGTAACTTAGAGATATTTTATTATGTAGGTAGGAACTGTATGCATCGCTAAGGTTAATTTAAATTGGCTATGCTCAAGTATGTAGACAAGCTAATGTCGAAGTAGTGTATGTGAAATCAACCTCACAATAAGATGTGTGTATATTACAATTATTAATGTCATATTTCAAGATGATTACTTAGATATTACAATATAGTTGGTTGAGCTGGAGTTCATTATTGAGCTTACACGTTAACGTCACAGTCATCTGAAGAACGAACGAACCTTGTTGTTTTTATGAATTGCATTACCAAATGGGTATCAAATAAACAGTAAGCATTGGTAACACAACTTCCAAAGTTACAGTAACATAAAAAGGCCCCTGACTCGGACAATACACAATCCAACATGTTCAACAGAAGAGAATCAGTTATATTGTTTGTACACATGGTACTTTACATATATATCTGTTTGTTTAAGGTGTCCAGGTGATGCAGACAGGCTGGACCAGAGAGTGAGAGACAGAACTGGACTCCTCACAGCAGTGAACTTCAGCTCAGGTACAAAGACTCTTTTTTCATACTGTACAAAGAATCAAGAAAGATATTGGTTTAAATAAATGAAGTATTGACTTGAATACACTGATATACATTCCATTAAACAATACTAAATACTAGATCACCTACACATCAGTTAAGTTGAGTGTTTTTTCCATGCAAAAAGTTACATTTAGATGTTAACAAGCAATATGACTGTCAGCTTTCTAATTGAATGTATTGAAGGCACAAATATTTAACACATAGTGAGAACTGCTACTATTTATCTCTCAATATTGTCTGTAAAAAACGTGGTAAAAGTTATTCTTTCAGTGAGACAGCAGAGCAAGCTTCTACATTTGCACTACGTTTTGATAACAGTTAAATATTATTTTGATAATAACATATATTTCAATGTTGATGAACTTCATACTGTTCATTCATAATCTGATTGTCTTTGTAGCTCACTGTTGAAATAAAAAAAAAACATTACAATTACAAAATAATTATATCTACAGCCCCTAAACACACAAACACACTGCTTTCATAAATAACACACTTGTTCTGCAATAATATGTTTTATGTTTCCTGTCATTTTTGTTAGGAAAGGACATGCCTGAAAGACACAACATTTTCTCCTTCTCTGAGGGTCAAGAAGAACATCCAAGAGGAACATTAAAAGCTGATGTTATGAGATTTTAAGACCAGTACAGGACATTCATTAAGAAACTACTTTTATTGTAAAAACAGTCAGCTGATCGAATGCAGCTATTTCCACATCTACACTCCATCAGCTGATTATTTCTATTTGCCTCACTTTATGAGCTTCACAACATGTACCTTGTTTTGCAACGTCACAAATAAATGGGGCCAATCTTCAGTCAGATGTGAATGTGTAATCCAACATTTTCAGTAAGAATAATGGACAAAAGGAGTGCAAATACAAATACAATTTATTGAAATGTGAACCAAAAGTTAATCAAATGTTTTAAATAAAAAGCACATATGGATAGAAGGTGTAAACCTATTAAATGTATTAAACACATTTAGTCAAATAAAGTGACCGACTAGGCCTGTGCAGTTGGTATCAGCTTTGCCCAGCATGGGCTCCTCCATCAGCCCTGGTCCTCCTCGCAGAGGAAAGACCCTCAGTCCTCTCCAAACCAACAGACAGGACGTCCATCACACAGAGGTTTCTCCCTGAAGTCTCTGCAGCTCTCTGGACACCATGCTGTCTCAATCCGTCCACACTGAATATGAGAGGGGGAAAATGAAAATAATAAATGCTTTAGACCAGTGGTTCTCAAATGGGGGTACGCGGACCCCTAGGGGTACGTTGGAGTACTGCAGGGGGTACGTGAGATT